TGGGGTCAGAGGCCAGGGCGGTGGGGTTCGGGGTGGATCTGGGGTCAAAGGCTGGAGTGGATCGGGGGTCAGGGCAGTGGGGTTTGGGGTTGATCTGGGGTCAGGACAGTAGGGTGGATCTGGGGTCAGGGCAGGGGTGGTCCGGCGATGGATCTGGGGTCAGAGGTCAGGGTTTCAGGAGGATTTGGAGTCAGAGATCTAGTTTTTTTTGGGAGGATCTGGGCTCAGAGGTGGGAGATGGACCCGGGGTCAGAGGTATGGCGGTTTCAGGGTGGACCTGGGGTCAGAAGTCAGGAGTTTGGGGTTGGACCTGGGGTCAGAGGTTGGGGGAATCCGGGATGGATCTGGGGTCAGATGTCGGGGGTATCCAGGATCAGAGGTCAGGTTTTTTTTTGGGGGGGGGGATTTGGTGGGGATCCGGGGTCGGGGGTCTTGGGGGTCCGGGGCCCAGCTCACAGTTGCGCTCGTCGATCTCCAGGAACTTGGCACACAGCTCCAGCTCACGGGCCCAGTCGGGGTGGGGGACGTGCTCCATCACCCAGCAGCGGTGGTGCCACGTCCCGTACGACTTGGGGTTCACCCGCAGGCAGGACTCCAGGAACGAGAGCTCCCCGCGGCACAGCGACTGCATCTCTTCCGGGGACCTGTCACGAGGGGTGGGTCAGAGCCGGGGGCTCCCCTGGGGACCTGCCACTCGGGGGGGTCAGAGCCGAGGAGCCCCCCAACCCCAACCCGACCCCGCTGGGGACCTGCCACTCGGGGGGGTCAGAACCAGTGACCCCGCCAAACCACAGTCAATCCCATATTGACCCCAAGACTCCCCCTCTTCCAGGTTCCCTGCGACCCCCCAAACTACCCCCCTTCTCCCCCTCCCCTAACCTCCCCCCTCACCTCCAGGCCCCCGCTCTACCCCTCATCCTCTATACCCCCCTTCCCCAGCTCCCCCATCCCTCCCCCTCAATACCTTCCTTCCCTGCCCCTCTGGCCCTCTCCCCCTAGACTTCCCTCCCCCGCCCCTCCAGACCCCCCTCACCCCTCTGGCTCCAGGCGGAGGAGGATCTCCCGGCGGAAGTTCCAGAGGGTGGCGAAGTCGGGGTTGACCCCCAAGATCTGATTGGTCAGCTCCAGCGCCTCTTTGTCCAGCTGTCCTGTCTTCCTCTGGGGAGGGGAAAGGCCAGAGGGTCAAAGGTCATGCCACAACCCTCACCTGGAGCCACCCTATCTCGTCCAAAGGATAAAGAGGTCAGGGGTCACCATTCACATCAATGTCCCTCCCGCAGTGGGGTGAAATGTCAGAGGTCAGGGGTCAAAGGGCAACTATTCTACCTGCCCATGCCAACATTTGACCAACAGGCAGTGGTCAAAGGTCACCTGACCACATCTGCTTCTGATCAAGGGTCAAAGGCCATGAGCCAAAGGGCATAACGTGTCATGACCACTCACGAGCCAGAAGAAAGTCAAGGGTTAATGTTGACCCAATTCTTCAATCTCAGCTATCTCCAGTCACCTAATGGGAATACAGCAGGGTCAAAGGTCATCCTAGATACAGGTCAAAGGCCACCAAACATCCAACTGCTTCTGGCCCAGAGGGGAACGGTCAGGGGCCAAGGGTCACACACTCATCCAACCATCTCCAACTGAGGGGAGAGGTCAGAGATCAAAGGTTGCACTTTAACTACTCATGACTCAGAGGGGAAGAGTTCTGGGGTGACAAACAACATCAGTGGGCCAACGTCAAAGGTCAGAGTTATCTTCGTCTCTGGTTTGGGGGGAGTCAGGTCAAAGGTCATTCTGACCAGGAGGGATCCAGGCTAAGGGGGCACCCACTGGAAGAAAGGTCAAGGTTCAAAGGTCAGCATGCCCCCAATAGCCCATGATGGGGAAGGCTAGGGTTCAAAGATCACTGCGCAGCCAATCCACACAAGGCGTAGTGTAAAGTCAGGGGTCAAAGGTTACAGCACAGCCTGACCACACAGAGCGAGGGAAAGGCCATGGGGTCAAAGGTCAATGTGCAGTGGCCGAGCATAAAGGTCATACTGCACCCCAGGAAGCCATGCTGACCACAAGGGTCAGGGGTGAAAGGTCAGCATGGCTTCCTGGGGTGCAGTATGACGGCAGGGCGCAGGGCATGCCCCCAGCCCATCTCACCTTCTCAAAGATGGCGGTCGTGGCGGCTACGTATTGACGTAGCTTCTTCTCCCGCTCCAGGCGCTTGGCCTCGGCCTGCTCCTCCGTCGTCTTTACCTTCAGACGGCCGTGCTGGGGGGGAGGAGGCTGTGTAAATGGGGAGGGGTGGTTGCTGCCCCAGGCCTTCACACCATGCTCCCCACCCAGGTGCATTATGGGATTGAGCAAGGGCAGGTGTCGGGGCCACGTGATTGCACCCACAACCCTGAATATGAAACCAGATCCCGTGGGGCAGTTCTAGGGGGCAGGGACACCCCTGGGGGGTAGCAGTAATCCCCTGCGAGGTCGCTGGGGACTGCCCCTGTATTGGGCACGGGGCCGGGAACCCAGGCATGCAGTGTGCCTGGGGTTGTGTTCAGTTACCCCAGGGTAGTAACTGGGGAGTGGGGCTCGGATCACCCCCTGAGGGGCAATGGGTGGGGACTGGGGTAGCCGATGGGACTGCACTCACCATGGTGACTCAGCCGTGGGGGAGCCCAGAGACAAGAAATCAGGGTCCAGACTCTGAACCTACTGGATCTAAAGGAGAGGAGAGGTGAGGGTTGGGGGGATCCAGCACTGAGACAGCCCCGCAGTGCCCATCCCCAACTCGGGGAACTCAGGCTCCCAGGGGCCCCAGGGCTGCGTGCACGACGAGGGACCCAGGTGTCCGGGGGCCCCCAGGGCTGCTTGCACGATGAGGAACCCAGGCATCCGGGGGCCCAGTGGGTTCACACTGCCACTCATGCCAACCCCAGATCATGCTGCCAGGTGCATTCTGGGACTGAGTCAGAGTAGCCAATGGGCCAGGCCATTGCATGCCCCTCACCTCCTGCCCGCACCTGCCTGCTCAGCCCCGCCCCAGGGGCGCTGAACCCAGAGGCACCCCCCTTGATCCGAATTCCGAGGCCTCCCCCCGCCCAGGGCATAGAATGGTCTCTCCCGGGGAAACTGGCCGGGCTCCCAATGCGGCGATACCAACCTGCGGAGGGCCACGGGGGCCGGACGGGCTGCACCCAGAGGCCCCCAGGGGGCAATACCAAAGCGCGGACGGGAGGCAGGGGTGAGATGGAACCGCCCGGCTGGCTGCAGCGCAGGACTCCTGCGGGCAATACCAACCACCGCACACAGAGAGGGGAGAGCCTGCTAGGACTCTACCATCCCTCTCCTTCCCTGCACCGAGCATAGAGAACAGCCCGCCAAGCGGGAGAGAAAGTCCCCATTCTTAAAGGGGCTGCTTCACTCTTAAAGGGGCAGGGTTTGAGTAAATGTTGGGGGTGGGGGGAATATTTCAAAACTTTCATGGGATCTAGTCGGTGGGTGGGTGGGTGAAACTAGGGCCCAGGACTCCTGAGTTCTATCCCTAGTTCTGGGAGGGGAGGGGAGTCTAGTGGTTAGAGCAGGAGGGGGCTGGGAGCCAGGACTCCTGGGTTCTATCCCAGCTTGAGGGGAATGGGACTAGTGGTTAGAGCAGGGGGCTGGGAGCCAGAACTCCTGGGTTCTATGCCAGCTTGGGGAGGGGAGTGGGGCCCGGTGGGTTGGGCTCCTGGGTTCTGCTCCTCGCCCAGCCCTGTCACTCTGAGCCATGCTGAGTGTTCAGGCCGAATGCACCCTAATTGCTGCTTTCGGTGGGTGTTGGCGTCCCAGCCGGGAGGGGAATCGTGAGTCACACAAGGTCGGGAAGCCTGGCCAGTTGGCACCAGCCCAGCATTCCCCAGTATTCTCTTACACCTGCACACCTGGGTTCTTCCCCGTCTGCCCCGGGGAATGCCAACTCCCCACCCACCCACCTAGTCACAGTCAGTGTTGGGCCCAGGTAGGTGCGTAGATGTGACACATTAGCTTTGCACAGCCTGGGCAGTAAGGGCTGGGTGATGTCAGAGCCGAGTCATTGGGGGGTGCCCCCAGGGCACGGGGCATGGTTGTGGGTCCTTGCGGGGCTTGGCGCTGGAGCAGGGATCTGCCAGTCGATGTATGGCCCCTGCCCTGCAGGGACACAGACCTGGGCCCATTCGAGCCTGACACAGTGTGAATCAGCCCCACGCAGGGCACAGGGGTGACAAGCCGGGCCCATGGACCAGGGGGTGGGTCCTGGTGGGGCGCTGTGCCAGAGGGTCCCAGCCCTGTCCCGCCTCTCGGCCTGGCCACAGGGGGCACTGTGCCAGAGGGTCCTGGCCCTGTCCCGCCTCTCGGCCTGGCTGCAGGGGGCACTGTGCCAGAGGGTCCCAGCCCTGCCCCACCTCTCGACCTGGCCACAGGGGGCACTGTACCAGGGGGCTCCTGCATGTGCAGGATGAGGCTAGGGTTGCTAGGCATCTGGTTTTCGACAGAAACGCATGGTCGAAAAGGGACCCTGGCGGCTCCGAAAGGGTCCGGGGGCTAAGGCAGGCTCCCTGCCTGCCCTAGCTCCTCGTGACTCCCAGGTCCTGGCGGCCACAGATGTTCCATATGCTGCCCCGGCCCCGAGGGCTGGCTCCACAGCTCCTATTGGCCAGGAACCGTGACCAATGTGAGCTGTGGGGGCGGTACCTGCAGGCCTGAGGGCAGCATGCAGAGCCTCCCTGGCTGCCCATGCGCCTAGGGGCTGCAGGGACCTGGCGGCTGCTTCCGGGAGCCGCAGTGAGACTCACCGGGACCCCAAACCCCCTCCCACATCCCAACCCCCTGCCCCAGCCCATTGCCCCCTTCTGCACCCCAAACCCCTCATCCCGGGTCCCACCCCAGAGCCCACATCCCCAGCTGGAGCCCTCACCCTTCCTGCACCCCAACCCCCTAACCCAGCCCAGACCCCACCCCAGCAACCCTCCTGCACCCCAAACCCCTCATCCCTGGCCCCACCCCAAAGCCCTCACCCCCCCGCATACCAACTCCCTGCCCCAGCCCAGAGCCCCCTACTGCACCCAAACTCCCTCCATCCCGCAGCCCTCAACACCTGCCCCGTCCCAGCCCTGAGCCCCCTTCTGCACCCCAAACCCCTCATCCCTGGCCCCACCCCAGAGCCCACACCCCAACCCCCAGCCCAGAGCCCCCACACCCCAGTGCCCCCTGCTGCACCCCAAACCCCCCACCCCTGCCCCGCCCGGTGAAACTGAGTGAGGGTGAGGGCTGGGGGAGAGTGAGGGATAGAGGGAGGGGGGATGGAGCGGGCGGGGGCGGGGCCCCAGAAAAGGGGCGGGGCACAGGCGGGGCCTAGGGGAACGGGCGGGGCAGGGGGCGGGGCAGGGGTGTTCTGGTTTGTGTCATTAGAAAGTTGGCAGCACTAGATGAGGCCCAGCCCCCCCCATAGGACTTGTGGCCTAGTGCGCGGGGCATGCCGGGACAGGGGCGGGGCGCGCGGCATGCCGGGAAACGGGCGGGGATAGGGGCTGGGCGCGGGGCATGCCGGGACAGGGGCGGGGCTGGGCGCACTGCATGCCGGGATAGGGGCGGGGCATGCCGTGGTAGCCGAGCCCCCCTCGCGGGCCCCACGTGCGCTCCCGGCCCGGTTATGGCGGACCCGCCCCGAGGCGGCGGTGTTGGGCGCAAGCGGCGGCGGCCCGGGTCGGACCCCCCCGGGCTGGGGGCGCGGCCCCGCCTGGATCCCGACGCCGCGGGCTACTTCCGCCGGGCAGCCGAGAGCCTCCGTGCCGGGCTGGGGCCGGGCAGCGAGCGGGGTGAGCGGGGGCGCTCGGCGCTGTACGTCTCTCACTGTGTTGTCCACCCTCCCCCCGGTCTGTTAGTCACCAACGTGGCGGCGGCGGGGGGTAGTGGGGTCGCTGGGGGATGCACGGCGCTGTATGTCTTCCACTGTGTCCTCCCCCTATGTCTGTTCGTCACCAATGTGCTGTAGGAGGCATGGGGGTGGGGGGGTGTCCCTGGCGGGTGCACGGCGCTGTACATCTCTCGCTGTATTGTCCCCCCTCCCCAGGTCTGTTCATCACCAACGTGCTGGAGGAGGTGGTGGGGGGGATAGCGGGGTCACTGCGGGGTTGTGACAATGCTGCCCGTGGGAGCCAGCTGAGGTCACTCAATCAGGGTGAACTGCAAACAGAACGGGGCAGACAAACCCCAAAAGCTGGTGGATCTTCCAATCCTTAGATTTACCAACCAGCCCAAAACAGCCTCTGTATTACCTCACTGGTGACTCAGAAGTTCCCTTAAAGTGCCCAGCCTCAGGCCTCCACCCAGACACACATGTCAGGTATGATGATGATTTGAAAATTTTATCTCATCATATAAAAAAAAGGTGGTTCTAACCCCAAAGGATCAGCCACACACCCAGGTCCAATTAGAACGTAGATCTTACCCCCAATACGCACTTATAGTCAATTCTTGTTAACTAAGCTACAATTTATTAAAAAAGAAAAGAGAGAGAGTGTTGGTTAAAAGATGAATATACAGACAGACTTGCCTTCAGTTCTTGAGGGTTAGATACATATAGCAGAGATGAGCTTGTAGTTGCCAAATGTCCTCTTAGAAATAGTCCAATGTCCATATTCAGGGTGACTCCAGTCAATGACTGGGGATCTCAGGCCTTGTGGCTCAGGGTTTTCCCCTCTTGAAACCGAAAGCAGATCTCTGATGAAGAAGGATCGTGTCCTGGGGTTTTTATACATTTCCAGTAGCCTTTTGGCCTGAGAAAACAGTAGGCTTCACTTCCCTTCTCCTAACATCCTGGCAATTAGCACAGGGTAATTTATCCATTAAACAGTTCAGATACAAAAAGAATAGGAGTACTTGTGGCACCTTAGAGACTAAAGTGCTACAAGTACTCCTATTCTTTTTGCGGATACAGACTAACATGGTTGCTACTCTGAGTTCAGATACAGGTTGCCACAACCTTCAAAGAGACATATAGACAATAATACTATTTCACTCAAGTATCTTCCTAAATATTACAGTACTACTCCTTTTTTGATCTCTGAATCAAAGCTATAGCAATAGACAAGACTTGTTTGCTGACATTACAAGACCTGAGCAAACATCTACCCCTCTATCTCTAACAATGCAGGTTGCATTTCAAAGCTCTATGTATTTACATATCTTCCTAACCAGTCTTTATAAAGTTTGGCCCTGGGTCAGGTCAGTCTATGAGTTAATTAACTCTTTCTGGCCCTATGTCACCTTTCAATGAGAGATTATATTCCACTCATAACGTCACAGGGGTGCACGGTGCTGTACGTCTCTCACTGTGTTCTCCCCTCCAGGTCTGTTTGTCACCAATACGCTGGAGGAGGCGGCGGGAGGATAATGGGGGCCAGGAGGTCGCTGGGGAGTGCACGGCGCTGTACGTCTCACTGTGTTCTCCCCCCAGGTCTGTTCGTTACCAATGTGTTGGAGGAGGCGGTGGGCTCCGCGCTGCCCCTGGCTCTGGACCCTTCCGGCTCCCTGCTGCTCCAGGCCCTGCTGCCCGAGGCCTCGCCCGCCCAGCTGGCCCAGCTCCTGTGCCCCCTGCTGCCCTCCCTGCGCCAGGCCGCCTGCCACCCCTGTGGTGCCCACGTTCTGGAGGCTGCCCTGCTCCGGGCTCCTCGGCTGCTGGGAGAGGAGGATGCTGGGACGCTAGAGGAGCTGGTGCTGCAGCTGGGGCGGGCAGTGAGGGAGGAGCTGGGGGCCTTCTCCCGGGACCCCCACGCCAGTTTTGTGGTGAGGACCCTGCTGCAGGTACTGGGGGGAGTCCGTGTCGGCTCTGATGCGGCCCGGGGGCTCTCGGGGACAGGTGAGTATTGATCGGGGCCAGTGTCACTTCCACACACTACCACTGGGGGATGCTGTCTGGGGTGGGGACTGGGCAGGGAGGATGGGGAGAATCAAGAGGAGGTAGAGACTGGAGGAAACAGGGTGGGGGACTGAGGGGGGCGGGGAGAGAGAACAAGGAGGGGCACATTGTGATGGGGCAGGGGACAAGGGACTCAGTAGTGGGGAGACGTACAGCAGCTGCGGGGGACAGTGGGGTCCAGGTGGGAAGGGGAGGGTAAAATGGGATCCAGTATATGTGTGTGTGGGGGTTGAGACTGAGAAGGGGGGTGGCAGAATGCCCCACAGAGGCATGAGGGTCCAGCACAAGGGGATGTAGGAAGAATGGGGGAACTGATCCCCCATCCCTGGCCTTTCATTGTTTCTGCCCTCTGAATATCCAGTGGCCGTGAGTTCCGCAGGTTAACGACTCACAGTGTCACCCCTTTCGCTACCTGATGGTCCCCTTCATCCTGCTCTTCCTATCTTGCCCCTCCAGGGCCCCCCGCCCCACGCAAGAAACGGGCTGAAGCTGAGAGCGAGGGGCCGGCGGAGTTTGAAGTCCCGGACTCGTTCCTGGCCCTCTTGCGGGAGTTCATTGCTGCTTTCCAGGAGAACATCGCAGGTGAGCCGACCCCAGCGTCCCCTGAGGGATTGGGAGCACCCCCACCGCCGGCACTCCTGCCCCACTCCCCACAGCATCCCCTGCTGGGAGAGGCCAGGGCTGGAGTTGCTGGGGGCACCCCCATGACTCACCCCGTCCATCTGTCCCCTCCCCAGAGTTCATCACCCACAGAGTCGCCAGCCTCTGCCTGCAGGTGGCGCTGGAGGTTTTGCACAGGAAGCTGCCCGAGGCCTGCACTGAGCTGTGCAGCTCCGTGATTGGCTACCTGAGCTCGCGGAACCCCTCCGCTGGATGCAGGTGAGCCTCCTGATTGGCTGTGGCCATGAGGGCTCTGATTGGCTATGGGGTCAGCAGCTGACTTAGGTAGGGTGTGAATGGCTGGAAGCTGGCTGGGTATTTTTTTGATTGGTCAGGAGAAGGGCAAGTGGGCTGTAATTGGTGATTTGGTTCTGATCGGTGATTGTGCCTACCTGGGTTATGAATGGCTGAGGCTGTGAGCAGCTGCTTTCAGATTTGCCAGGAGCTGAGCCAGGTGGCTGGTGATTGGATGGGTGTACTCTAATTGGCTGTAAGCGGTTTGGGGTGCAGTCTCATTGGGCCAAGCCGGTGCTGTCTGATTGGCTAACGGCCCCTCGATCCCTGCAGCCCCCTGCTGGTGTTCCTGAAGGACCCCGTCTGCAGCCGAGTGCTGGACAAGGTGCTGGAGGTGTCGGAGCCGCGGGCGCTGCGGGCGCTCTACCGCCAGCACTTCCGGGGCCAGCTGCGGGTGCTGGCGGGCCACGGGGTGGCCAACTTCACCCTCCAGCGCCTCATCGGGGCCGCGTCCCCCAAGCTGGTCAGTGGGGCCACGGGGGCTGGGCAGGGAGGGGGAGGTGTGGGGGGAGGGGGCATGGGGCAGATGGTGGAGAGTGGGGTGGAGCTGTGGGGGGGTGAATGGGGAGCCATGTGGAGGGAGGTTGGACCTGATGGGGGGAGGAGCTAGTGGGTGAGGCTTGGCCATGCCCCCTGATGCTCCCTTTGTTCCCTCCCAGCTGGGGAAGGTGCTGGCGGAGCTGGGGCCAGGGCTGGAGGAGGTGCTGGCCCAGGGGCATGCGGGCGTGGCCACGGCGCTGCTGGGAGCCTGCCGGCGGTGCGGGGCCAGCCAGCAGGAGGCGCTGCAGCTGCTCATGGAGGTGAGTAGCCACCCTCCCGCTAGATCAGCCCCCACTTCTGCTTCCCTCGCCTGGCTCTCATCTCGGGCTCCCCCTTCCTGCCCATAGGCCTTCCACTGCTGGGAGCCCCCCGTCCGACGGGCAGCCTGTGCTCCCCTCTTTGCCTCCCTGCTGCCCTACGAGGTGTACTACGCCCCGGGAGAGGGCCAGGAGGTGCAGCCCCCCCTGGAAGAGCAGGTGAGTATGGGGAAAAGGGGGGGCACATATGGAGCTGGGATAAGGGGCAGGGGTCATTCCCCTGGGGCAGTGATAAAGCAGCAGGGGGGGCAGTGGAGGAGTTGCGGGGGGCTGGGCTGGCTCTCGGAGGGACTGGGTTATTGGGGGAGGAGGGAAATGGGGGTTAATGGGAGGGGTGGGGGGGCTGGGAGAGGGTGGATCACTGCTGGAGCAGTGACTAGAGGATAGGGGCTGGATGGGATGCCCTCCACCCTTATCCCTCCCTCCCCGCTCTCTCTCTCAGCCTGATCCCCCACCTGCCCTGGCCGCGGTTTCCCTCCACGGCTCCCTGCTGCTCCAGCACCTGCTGCACTTTGCCGACCCCTCCCCCGTGCTGCGAAGCCTGGCCGCTCTCCCCCCGCATGACCTGGTCACCCTGGCCTGCAGCCCGGCCGGCAGCCACGTCTACGACGCCCTCCTGGCCAGCCCCTCCGTACCCCGCAAGCCCAGGCGCAAGGTGCTGCGTGGGCTCCAGGTGAGTGCGGGGCCAGGGGCACTGCTGTGGGGAAGCTTGCAGCACTTGAGCTACGCATCTGACTCTTCCCCCCTCATCCTCAGGGTCACTTCGTGTCTCTGGCTTGCAACAAACATGGGAGCAGAGTCCTGGATGCCATCTGGAGCCGGGCCACCCTGCCGGCCAAGAGACAGATTGCCCAGGAACTGGGTAAGAGCCCCCTTCCCCTCCCATCCCCCCCCAGTTCCAGCCCTAGCTCCTCTCCCCACCCCGGTGTCCTGGTTGAATCCCAGTTCAGGCCAGTCCATCCTAATCCCTGGACTGGATACAGCTTCCCTGATCACTTCCTGTCCTAAAGTGGGCCGCTCCTGTGTGCTGTTAAAAGCACCCGTGCCCCAACCAAGAGTTGGCCGCATCTCTCACCCCAATCCATCTGTTCCCCCAGCCGAGCAGGAGCAGCAACTGCGCAATGACCCCTTTGGGCACCATCTGGTGCGGAACTTCGCCCTGACCCATTTCCTGAACCGCCGGCGAGACTGGGACCGGCACCAAGAGGCGGAGACCAAATGCAGGGAGCTGTTCGCGGAGATTCTGGAGGATTGAATGCTGGGGGGCAGCGATGGGATTGCTAGCCCTTTCTGGCACCAGGAGAGACTCTTCTTCCAACCATAGAGATCCTGGAGGACTGAATGCCAGAGCGGGTGCTGCTCACATCTGCTTCTACCCATAGAGATTGTTGAAGACTGAATATCAGAGTGGGTGCTATGGAGTTTTTATGGCCCTCTTGGCTCCTAACCATAGAGACTATAGAGGACTGAATACTAGGAGTGCTGTGTGGGGGTCTTATGCTCTCATCTGCTTCTGACCAGAGAGCCTGGAGGACTGAATACCAGAGCGGATGCTGCCTGCATCTGCTTTGACCCATAGAGATCCTGGAGGACTGAATGCCAGAGTGGGTGCTGTGGAGTTTTTATGTCCCTGTTGGCGCCTAAGCATAGAGATGTTGGAGGACTGACTACAGGTGGTGTCTGTGTTGGGGTCCTTATCCCTACCCACTATCTGTTTTGAACCCTAGAGATCCTGGAGGACTCACCCCCTCTAGGGGCCGCTCTGGACTTCCTTTCTCCCTCTTGTCTGCTCCCAACTGCACAGAGGCGGTTACAATCCTGATTTTCTATAAAGGTTTCTATTTCCCTACATGCTCTGCTACAGTGTGTGTAAGGGGGGGGTTAGCCAGCAGGGGGACTCTCGTGCCCCAGCCAGCCCCCTTAGCCCCACGGTAACCCCCACACCCCCTTAGCTGCCCCCTCTCTGGCTCCTGTTGGTGCTTGGAAAGAGAGGAGGTCTGGAAATGGACTTAAATAGCCTTTTTATTGTAATAGCAGCAGCATCGTGGGTGCACTGAGTTCACTGGGGTGGGGAGGGATGGGGCCAGGCCAAGGGCCTCAGTCTTCATAGTGGCTGAGCCGGGCGGGCTGGTGCCAGGTCTCCACCCCCTCCAGGAGGCGCCGGATGTAACTGGAGGCTCCCAGCAGCAGCTGCCCCATTCCCTGCATCACAGCCGAGACCACTCGCAGCACCTCCCTGCGGGGGCAGAAGGGGGTGAGAGGTGGCATGGTGCCCCAGCAGGGGGTGCTGTGGGGTGCTGCCTGTGGGGGGAGCTCCAGGCTCTTGCAGCCCCTGCCTTGCCCAACAGGGGATGTCCTGGGGTGGGAATGGGGAGCTGGGGTGTGTGGGGTGGGCGGCTTTGTGGGAGGCAGCGGTCCCTGCTGGTTGGGGGTGCTGTGGGTTGCGGGGCGGAGCAGACGGCCCTGCCAGCAGGGGGTACTGGGAGGGGGCAGAGGCGGGGTCCCTGC